TCGTCCAGGAGGACGACACAGGCGTCCTCGTTCGACGCGACGCACGCGACGCGCGGCGCGGCGCCGCCGCGCGGGATGGGCAGCGGCGCCGGCCGCTCGGACCTACCGAGCGCGTCGGTGACGATTTTTCGTCGTTTCCCCCGGTTAAAAGCTCTCATAAATCGTCACTGGGACGCTGGCTCGGACCCGCGCCAGCCGAAGAGCACGGGCTCGTCGTCGTCCTCGTCGGCCTCGTCGCTGGCGTCGAGCGCGCCGTCGGACGCCGCGCGCGGCTTCCCGCCGAAGCGCCACGCGTCGGGCGCGGTCACGGGCCGGCTCCGGGCCGCCTTGGCCAGCAGGGCGTCGAGCGCCGCGTCGCCGCTCGACGCGCTCGCGCCGCGCGACCCGGCGGGCGCCCCGGCGCGGCGCCGCGGCTCGCGGAGCGACGCCTGGCGCCCGAAGCCGCCGGCGCGCGCCGGGCTCTTCGCCGCCTTCGTCGGCGGCGGCGCGGGCTCCTCGAGGCGCGGCGACAGGCTCCGCCGCCGCGCGTGCGACGTCTGCGCCCGCTTTTTCACGCCGGGCTCCCGCAGGTCATTGCGCAGCATTTCGCGCAGCATCGTTGTCCAACGATGCTGCCCCGCCGCTCCAACTCCCTCATTGATGTCACCGTCGGCCAATCAATCTTTTTTGCGCTGTTATAGCCCAGCGCGCTGCTCGATGGGCGCGTCGGCCTAGGCTGCCCCATCCACGCCCGCGCCGAGGCGGCCTTTGCCGGCCATGGGCGAGACGTCGGACAAGGAGAACGAGCAGAATGAGAAGGAGCGCAAGAAGGAGATGGCCGAGTTCCGGAAGATCGCGAAGCAGCTCAAGGCCAAGGACGCGCAGACGAAGCTCGGCGCCATCGCCAAGTGCGGCGAGAACGCGGAGTCGCTGCGCCGCGGCGAGTGCTTCGTGCCGCTGCTGCAGCTCTGCGTCGCCAAGAAGAAGAACGCGGCCATCGTCGCGGCGGCCGTCGGCTGCGTCCGCGGCTTCCTCGCGGCGACGGCGGAACCGGGAGAACCCGGCGACGACGGCGAGGTTTCGCCGCCGAGCCACGCCCACGCGCGCCTGCTGCTCGAGGCGGCGGAGAAGAAGAAGAACCGCGTGCCCGGCGGCAAGCTCTTCACGGATCTGCTGAGCCACGAGAACCCGGACATCGTCGGCGGCGCGACGGGCGCGTACCGCGCGCTCGTCGCGTGCGCGCGGGCGCCGGACGCGTCGAAGAAGTTCGCCGCCCAGGTGCGCACGGGCGACCCCGTCGAGGCCCTCGCGAGCGTCGTCAAGCGCCACGCGCCGCCGCCCGACGAGGCCGCGGCGGCGCCCGCGGACGAGCCCGGAGAACCCGCGGCGCCGGCCGAGGAGCCGCCGGCGGAGGAAGAAGAAAACGCCTGGACGCCCGCGCGCGTCGCCGCGGAGCTCCTGGGCCCCGCCTGCGAGGCCCTGGCCTTTTTGCTCGACGTCGACGCGTCGGGCGGCGCGGCTAAAGCGTCCGCGGCCGGCGCCGCGGCGTTCGTCCGGAGCGGCGCGTGCCGCGCGCTCGCGCACTGCGCCTGCGCCGGCGGCGTCTACGACGCCCTCGCGGGGCCCTGCCTCGCCATCCTCGACGCCGTCACCGCGACCGCGGGCAGCGGCGGCGGCGACGCGCTGCTCGCCGTCGACGGCGGCGCGGACGCGGTCGTGACTTTAGCGAAGCGCCTCGCCGAGACGTCCGACGCCGCCGCGGGGCCGCCCAAGGAGCTGCTCCACTGCCTCAACATCGTCGAGCGGCTCCTCGTGGCCATCGCGGCCGCGGAGCCGCCGCCGGCCGACGACGGCGCCGCTCCGGGCGGCGACGCGGCCGCGGCCGCGCCGGGCCCCGCGCCGGCGCCGGCGCCGGGCGGCGACGCGGCCGCCGAGGCGCCGACGCCGTCCGTCTTCCTGAGCTGCGACAAGACGACGGGCGCGCTCTACGGCGCGCTCAAATTCTTCGGCGACGCGTCGGCCGAGGCCGTGCCCGAGGGTTTAGGCGACTGCGTCGCGCTCGTCTGCAAGTGCCTCGACCGCTCCGTCGACGCCTTCAAGGAGGACGCCTACCGGCGCCTGACGGCGTCGCCCGAGGCCGCGGTGCCCGCGACGCTCCTCAAGGTCCTCGTCGCGCCCGGCGGCGCGGGCGAGATGCGCTTCTCCGTCGAGAAGGCGCTCCACAAGATGGCCGCCTACCGCGGCGGCGCGACCCTGCTCCTCGAGGACGCCGAGGGCGGCGCGACGCTCCCGCCGCCGGCGGAGGGCGACGACGCGCCGCGAACGGCGACGCCGCGGCTCGACGCCGCGGCGATCGCGGCGGCCCTGGCCGTCGACGACGCCGACGGCAAGTACCGGGCCATCCGCTTCGCGGCGAAGCTCAGCGACCGCCGCGAGAACGCGCTCATCCTCACGCCCGTCGTCGCGCCCTTACTCGCGGTCGTCGAGGCCTGGGCCGCGGACGCGCAGCCCGCGCCCTGGCCCACGGGCATCTCCAACGAGGCCGGCGCGGCGCTGGCTTTAGACGGCCTCATCGCCATCGCGGGGTCGTCGGCCGGCGCCTGGGCGGAGCTCGCGGACGACGCGGCGCTCGCGGTTTTGGACGCGGCGCTCGCGCGCGGGCCCGCGGACGCCGCGGGCTTCCGCGCGGCCGCGGCGCGCGCCGAGGAGGCCGAGGCGGCCGTCGACGCCGCGCCGGGCCCGGCGCCCGCGCCCGCGGAGGGGGGCGAGCCCGCGGGCGAGGCGCCGCCCGCGGCCGGCGCCGCGCCGCGGCCGTCGGCGAACAGCGCCGCGAGTTACCACGGCGAGGCCGTGGCCTACATGTGGGAGCCGACGGCCGTGGGCTGGGAGACGTCCTTCGCCGCGCCGGACAACGGGCCGTCGCGCGAGGTCGGCGTGCGGTCCCTCGTCGCGACCTTGGAAACCAACCACTGGTTTGGGTGGTCCCGACCAAACTTGAGAATTCTCTAGCTCGGTCACATCGAAGTCGATTCGGCTGATTTTTGAACGAATCGATGGCTCTCGTCGAGTTCTCGAAGTACAGCCGAAGAGCGTGTGTCAAAACATTCGAATACGCTCACATTGAAGTCGGGTTGAAGATTTGATTTGCACGCAGGTCGCGACGCTCCTCGCGATCGTCGCGCGGCCGCCGCCGGCGGAGGCGCGGCCCGCGGAGGCCGCGGAGGCGCCCGCGGAGGACACGGAGGCGCCCGCGGAGGACTCCGAGCCCGCGGCGCCGCCCGCGGGCAAGGTGACGGCGACGACGGCGACGACGGTGCTGGCGCTGGCGACCGTGGACCTCACGTTCGACGACGCGCCGTACTGGGGCAAGGCGGCGCACGACGACGACGAGCTGCTGCGCGAGGACCTGCGGTCGACGGCCATGGAACTGCTCGCCGCCGTCGCGGCGAACGGCGGCGGCCGCGAGCTCCTCGTCGAGGCCGCGACGGCGTGGGCGCCCGCGGGCGCGCCGGCCGCGCCCGCGGACGCGCCGCCGCCGGACGTGCCCGCGGCGGAGACGGCGGCGGCGACGGACCCGGAAGCGGGCGACGACGGCGAGGCGGCGACGCCCGCGGCGCCGGCGCCGCCCGCGTTCCGCGCGCCGCGCGACGCCGCGGCGCTCGACGGCCCCACGAGCCGGTCCTGGTGGCCCTTCGTCCGCGTGCTCGCGTCGCCCCTCGCCATCATCGCCGACCCGGCGGCGACGCCCCTCCAGCACGAGCGCGCCATCGCCGTGCTCGAGGCGCTCTGCCGCGACGGCGCCGCGGCCGCGTCGGACCAGCCCGTCGCCGTCGACAAGTTCGCGGCCGCGGCCGTGGCCATGGGCGCCCTCGTGCCTTTGGCGGCGCTCGCGTCCGCGCGGACGGCGCTGACGTCGGCCGCGTTCTTCGTGAGCGCCGAGGACGCCGGGGACGGCTCGGCCGCGCCGCTCGCGCAGCTCGCGGCGGACGCGGAGGCCGTCGTCCTCGAGCTCGTGGCCCGCGCGGCCATGCGGTCCCTGCGCCTCGAGGCGCGCGCCGCGGCGGGCGGCGCCCTCGCCTACGAGGCGTCGGTCAGGGCCGCGCGCGACGCGTTCCACGGCGTCGCCGCGCAGGACGACGAGCCGAAGAAGGACGACAAGAAGAAGGGCAAGAAGGACGACAAGAAGGCCAAGGACAAGGGCCGCAAGTCCGTCGTCGAGAAGGCCGCCGAGGAGAACCCCGACGAGCCGCCGCCGGTCTTCGACGAGGCCGCGGCCGCGGCCGCGGCGGCCGTCGCGGGCGCCGCGGCGGCCGCGGAGCTCCGCGAGGACGAGCGCGGCGGGCCGACGCTGCCCCAGTGGGGGGAGATTCTGGGCGCGACGGCGCCGGACGCGCGGCGAAAGAAGGCGACGTCGACGGCGCTGCTCTCGGCGCTCGCGGGCGACGCGCGCGCGGTCGCCGCCGCGCTCGTCGACGCGGGCGCGGACGTCGCCGAGGCCGACGGCGACGGCGAGGCACCCCTCATGATGGCCCTCGCGCGGGGCAACCTCGACCACGCGGCGCTCCTCCTGGCCAGGGGCGCGGACTACGACGGCCGCGACGCCAAGCTCGCGAACGCGCTGCTCTACGCGTTCGTGGCGCCCGACGGCGCGGCCCTCGACAACGCGCTCGACGGCGCGCGCGAGGCCACGGACCGCGGCGCCACGCCGGCGACGCTCGAGCTCGCCGGCGACGCGGCCTTCGTCGCGGAGCTGCTCGAGGCGGGCGCAGACGTCAACGTCGCCGTCGGCGGCCGCTTCCCGCTGCACTGGGCCATCGAGGGCGTCGTGCTCGAGCTGGCCCACGACGGCGTCTTCCCCTGCGTCTTCGGCTTCGACGCGGAAAACCGGTCGCTGGAGCTCGTCGACACGCTCGTGGCGTTCGGCGCGCACCTCGACCGCTGCGACGAGGCCGGCGCGACGCCCCTGCACAGCGCCCTGCGCCTCGGCGCCTGCGGCGCCGCCACAGCTTTGCTCAAGGCGGGCGCGGAGCCGAACCTGGCCGACGCGGGCGGCCGCCTGCCGCTGCACCTCTGCGGCTTCCGCTGCGGCGTCGAGGGCATGGGCGCCGTGTTCGAGGCGCTGCTCGCCGCGGGCGCGACGCGGCCCCGCGGGACGGCGACCTACGACAACGCGCGGGCCGGCACGTCGCGCGCGGCGAAGATGCGCGCGACCGTCGGCGGCGTCCTCGACCGCGCGTTCGCCGTCGCGGTCGCGCCGCCGGTCATCTCCGACGAGCTGCCCCTGGCCGCGGAGCTGCTGGCGGCGCTCGACGCCGAGGGGCGCACGCCCCTGCACTGCGCGGCGGGCGCGGGCTACGACGAGGCGCCGCCGCCGCGCGTCGGCATGCGCGCCGTCGCGGACGCGTCCAGCGACGGCGCGCGCGAGCGGCGCGGCGCGGTGCTCGCGGCGCTGCTGTCCCGCGGCGACGTGTCCCTGGCGACGCAGAGCCTGGGCTGCGCGGCGCGCGGCGGCGCGGGCGTCGTCCACCTGGCCGTGGAGGCGCTCGGCGACTTCGCGGTGCCCGCGCTCGAGGCCGCGCGGGCCAAGGGCGCGGACCTCGACGAGCTCCTGGAGCTGCCCGAGGAGGATATGGGCCTGCAGCTGCCGGGCTTCCACCCGCCGGAGCCGGGCCACGACCCCACGGCGCCGCACTGCGCCTCGCCGACGATGACGCCGTCGCCGTCGCGCGACGCGCTCCCCCCGCCGGACCCGTCCGCGGGCTTGGTGTTGGAGTCGTCGGCGCCGGCGCCCGCGGCGCCCGAGGTCGTCACCTTCGACATCTTCGACACCGTGCCGTCGACGGACGACCTCGGGCCGCTGCCCCCGGCGCCCGCGGCCTCCGCGGGGCCCGCGCCCGCGGGCGAGCACGCCGCGCCCGCGCCCGCGGCGCCGGACACGTCGCGCACGGGGCACGACACCGTCGGCTCCGCGTCGAACGGCGGCCGCGTCTACACGCAGGCGCTGCCGGAGCTGCCGCCGACGGCGCGGCGCGTGCTCGCGCCCATCCACGTCGCCGTGCGGTCCCACGCCGTCGGCGTCGTCGACTGGCTCCTGGAGCGCGGCGCGGCCGCGAACCCCTGTGCCGAAACCAAATCTTCAACCCGACTTCAATGTGAGCGTATGCGACCGTTTCGACGCGAGCTCTTCAACTGGGCTTCGAGAACTCGACGAAAGCAATCGATTCGTCCAAAAATCAGCCGAATCGACTTCGATTTGACCGAGCTAGAGAATTCTCAAGTTTGGTCAGGACCACCCAAACCAGTGGTTGGTTTCGGCACAGGTGAACCCGCCCGGCTGCCACCCGTCGCCGCTCGCGCTCGCCGCGCTCACGGGCGCGGAGCCCGAGGTCGTCGAGGCGCTCCTCGAGCGCGGCGAGTCCGCGTCGGCCCTCGCCGACGACCTCGGGGGCACGTCGCCGGCGCACGCGGCCGCGGCGCGCGGCCACGCGCACACGGTCGTCGCGATGGACGTCGGCGACGCGCTCGACAAGAACGGGCGGACGACGGCCATGGTCGCGGCGCTCGCCGGCCGCGACGACACCGTCGAGGAGCTGCTCGACCACGGCGTCCACGCCTACGTGCGCGACTGCGGGGGCATGAATCTGCTCGACGTCGCCATCGACCTGGCGGAGGTCGACGTCGCGACGTCGATCATCCAGCACGCCTACGTCCAGGTCTACGAGCGCGACGTGCGCCGCGCGGAGCGCGTCCACTGCTTCTGGGCCGACAAGGCCATGGCCGTGACGCGCGACGACCGCGCCGCGAGCCACGAGGCGGAGAAGCTCACCGCGGCGACGGCCGTGCTCAAGCTCGTGCTGCGCGCGTGCTGGGCCCACCTCGAGGCGAGCCGCCACATCAAGCCCTGCTTCGCCGACGGCGTCATGTACTACGACGTGCTCCTGGCCGAGGAGCAGAAGGCCATCGACGAGGCGGAGCAGGAGCACGCCGCGCGGTCGATCCAGTTCGCCATCAAGCGCCGGAACAAGAAGAAGGCCAAGGGCAAGGGCGGCGCGAAGAAGAAGAACCGCAAGAGCTCCTCGGCCTAGGCGCTTGTTAAAACCCCCTCTCCCTAGAACCTCGACAGCAGGAATCGCGCGTCCAGCGCGACGCACGCGACGTGGCCTAACAGGACCGACGCGTGGAAGAGCTCGTGGTAGCCGAAGACGTTGCTCTGGGGCCAGCGAGCGCAGTACACGACGAAGCCGGGCAAGAAGCAGAGGTAGACCGCGAGGCAGGACGGGTACCGCGCGCCGGAGACGACGACGAGCCCCGCAGCAGACAGCCGAGGTACTGCGCGCCGAGCGACGCTTGCACGACGCGGTCGCCGACGGCGCGGGGCACCAGGGCCTACCGAGCATGACGGTGACGATTTCTTCGTGTTCCCACCCCAGATCTCTCGAAACTCGCAGGACGCTGACCAGCGCGTAGGACGCCGCGGCGACGGCTGCCGTGCAAGCGAAGCAGGCCGCGCCGACCTTCCGCAGCCCGTCGATCCAGCCGACGTTCGTCGCCCAGAGCAGGTAATTCGCCGACAGTATGAAGCTGATGCTCACGTAGTCGAGGCGCAGCCACGCGAGCTCGACGTGTAAAGGAACGGGCGAAAGCGCGTGTGATTTTTGGTCCGGGTTATGGTAGCCGTGGCTGATGAACATCCCCGCGGACGTCGCGGCGGCGACGGCGACGCGCGGGAGCATCGCCGCCGGGTTTGGGACGACGCGGGCGACGAAGGCGAGGTAACCGACCATCAAGGCGTACCAGGCCTTGGTCGTGTGCAGTGCGCCCAGCATTTGGCCGCGGAACCTGGCGCACGCAATCAAACTTGTGCCAGTGTTCAGTTTCCGACACTGGACACGCGAAACCTCGGCCTCTGCCATCCGGTGATCGCGTACACCGGCCGTTCGAAGGCATCCGCGCCTCCGTTGGCGATGCTCGCAGAGCTAAAGTGCTTGAGGCGGCTGCGGGGGCGGTTGCTTAGTTTCTGCCCCACGACCAGCGCATTCGACTGTGCCAGGCAGCAAGCGACGATAGCTGCCCATCGCATTCTCAACCAAATGTTCACCTTCAACGACAGATAAGTGAAGCACGACCAGTGCCGATGCGGCAGCCCTAAACGATGAATGCGAGGGAGCGGCGGCTCGCTGCGAGAGCTGCGGAGCGGGAGAAGGCAAAGGCGGCGCGTCCCGCCACGAAACCCGACGCCGTCGGCGACACGCCCGAGGACCGCGAGGCGCAGAAGCATGCCTACACCGCCGCCCTCGAACGGGACCGCGCGGCGCGCGAGCGGGCCCGCGCCGACGAGGCCGCGCAGCAGAAGCAGGCCGAGGCGGACTTCGCGTCCAAGTTCGCGGCGCCGTCGGGCGCCCTCGGCGGCGACGCGAAGATCGCCGCGCGGAAGGAGCACCTGAAGCGGCAGAAGGACGCCTACGAGCAGCGGCGCCAGCAACTGGTCCAGCGCGTCGCGAGCCCGCCGCCGCCGACGCCGCCGGCGGCGCCACGGCCCGTCGATCCCCTGCGCGACGCGCCGCCGCCGCGCGGCGGCGGCCTGCTGGACGCGCCGCGGAACGCGCCGGCGCCGCGCCCCATCGATCCTCTCCGCGACGCGCCGCCGCCGCGCGGCGGCGGCCTGCTCGACGCGCCGCCGCCGGAGCGGCCCCGGGACCCGTCGCCCATCTTCGGCGGCGACGCCGGCGGCCGCGCGCCCGCGGCGGACCCGAAGGCGGCCTACGCGGCGCAGCTTCGAGCGCAGATCGCGGACGACGCGCGGCGACGGCGGCCCCAGGACCGGCCGCGGGACCCGTCGCCGGTCTTCGGCGGCGACGCGCCGGCGGCGCGCGGGCCGCCCGCCCGCGACCCCAAGGCCGAGTACGCCGCGCAGCTCCGCGAGCAGATGGCGGAGAACGCGCAGCGGCGCCAGCCCCAGGACCGGCCGCGGGACCCGAGCCCGATCTTCGGCGGCGACGCGGCGCCCGCGCGCGGCGCGCGGGACCCCAAGGCCGAGTACGCGGCCCAGCTGCGGGAGCAGATGGCGGAGAACGCCCAGCGGCGGCAGCCCCAGGACCGGCCGCGGGACCCGAGCCCGATCTTCGGCGAGCCGAGCAAGCCGGCCCGGGGACGGGACGCCAAGGCCGAGTACGCCGCGCAATTGCGGGAGCAGATGGCCGGCGACGCGATCCGCCGGCGCGACGCGGGCGAGAAGCCCCGGGACCCGAGCCCGATCTTCGGCGAGCCGAGCCGGCGGCCCCCGGGCGGCCAGTTGTCCAAGGACGAGTACGCCGCGGCGCTCCGCGAACAGATGGCCCACAAGGACCGCGCGGCGCCCGCGAGCCCGCGGGGCGCGCAGGACGGCTTCGGGCGCGACGTCTTCGGGAACGAGCGCAAACCGATGAGCAAGCAGGCCTACGCCGCCGCGCTCCGGGACCAGATGGACGACCGGTCCAAGGGGCCGGCGAGCCCGCGGAATCGCGACCCGAGCCCCATCTTCGGCGAGCCGAGCCGCCGCGACGCCTTCGGCAACGAGCGCGCGGCCGTCGACAAGCAGTCCTACGCCGCGCAGCTGCGGGAGCAGATGGCGCAGGACGCGGGCCGGAGGGACGCGGAGCGCGCGCGGCGGCGCGACGCGTCGCCCGAGCCCTTCCCCGGCGGCGGCGGCCTGAACATCGGCCAGCACCCGCCGCCCCGGCAGCCGCGTTTCGACCACGGTGCGCCGCCCGTGGCGCCGGCGGCCGTGGCGCCGCAGCCCGGCGAGGCGGCGCCGCCGCAGACGACGAAGACGCCGCCCGGCTACAAGGTCGGCCCGACGGGGCAGCTCGTCCGCGTGGACCCGCGGGACATGCGGGGCCGCCAGTACGCCGAGGCGGCCATGCTGCGCCACGTGTCGCCGCTGCGCGGGGCCCGCGGCGCGCCGCCGGGCGACCGGCCCGAGCCGGAGGCCGACGCGCCCCTCTTCGGCCACGACGGCCGCGACGACGAGGACGAGAAGAAAAGAAAGGGAAATTTGTGGAAGCACCAGCTCGAGGTCGACATGCGCGAGCGGGAGGCGCAGAAGAAGATCAAGGACCGCGAGGAGAAGGCGCGCGCGGACGCCGAGGAGGCGCGCCTCGCCCGGGAGCGCGCGGAGATCGACGCCGCGTACGCCAAGGAGCAGGAGAAGCAGCGGCAGCAGCAGCAGCGCGAGGAGGACCAGCGCCAGGTCGCGCGCGACCTCGAGGAGCGGCGCCTCAAGCGCGAGCGCGAGGCCGAGGACCAGCGGCGGCGCGACGCCGAGGACGACGCGAGGGTCGCGCGCGAGCAGCGCGAGCTCCAGGTCAAGTTCGAGACGGAGCGGCGCGCGTCCGTCGCGCGGCAGACGACGGCGCGGCAGTACGCCGACTCGGAGATGACCGACGGCATCGAGTCGCGGCCGCGGACGGTGCCGCCCGCGTCGACGCGTCCCACGACGCGCGGCGACGGCGACGACACCGCGCCGCCGTCGCCCGCGGCGTCGCGCGGCTCGTCGCGCGGCGGCCGGCGCCGGCGCGAGGATCTCTTCGGCGACCCCGCGGAGCCGCCGCCGCCCTTCATCCCCATGGAGCCCGTGCGGCACGCGTCGCCGCCGCGCGTCGCAGGGCAGGACAAGAGAGCGAAATTCCCAACTTCAAAGGCTCCTTTCTCGGCCGTTTTCCACTCGTTTCGGCTGATTTTTGGACGAGCGATCATCTCTCGGAACGGTCTCGAAGCGTGGATGCTTTTTCCGGAACGCGCGCGCGCGGAACACTCACGTTGAAGCGACGTTGAATCACCCTTGTCCTGCCCAGGCGCGTCGTGCGCAAGGTCGTCGTCATCGAGGAGCCCGACTTCAAGCAGACGGCCATGAGCGAGCCGCCGCCGCCCCTGTCGCGCGCGCCGTCGCTGGAGAGCGTCGCGACGGAGCGGGAGTCGCCGAAGGAGCGGGAGTCGCCGAAGAAGGCGGCCCGCAGACCGGCGGAGCGGACGCCCGCGCGGTCGAAGCGCCGCCTCATCCCCCGCGACGACGCGTCGCCGCCGGAGACGCCGCTGGGCCCCATGCCCGACAAGCTCGTCGACTCCATGCGCGGCTGGATCGTCCCGCCCAAGGACGAGACGGCCTTCTACTTCGAGACGGACGACCCCCGGTTGCGGCCGCCGCCGCCGCCGGCCGCGCCGGAGCGGCCCGCGGCCGCCGCGCTCGACCTGCTCCCGTCGGCGGCGGACCGCCTGACGAAGGCACTCAAGCAGGCCGACGCGAAGAAGCGCGAGAAGCGGCGGACGCCCCGGGACGACGACCGCGGCGGCGAGTCGATACTGGCGCGCGCCGCGCGCGCGGTGCTCGAGCGCCGCGACGGCCCCGACGACGGCGGCGACGCGTCGCGCGCGGCGACGCCGCGCGACTGGGACTCGCGGCCGACGACGGCGGCGTCCGAGGCGAGCCTCCAGCTCGACGCGGACTCGCGCCTCGTCTTCCCCGACGGGCGCACGGTCGAGACGCGGGGCTACGGCGCGCCGCCGCCGGCGGCGCCCCTCGAGGCGGCGCCCGAGGACGCGCCGCTCCGATCGGGCCGCACGTCCGCGCGGAGCGGCAAGTCGTCCGCGCGGTCGCGGCGCGCGTCCGCGTCGGACGCCGGCGACGCCGCCCCGGAGCCCGAGGACGACTTCAACCTGCTGTCGATCCTGCGGCGCAACGCGAAGCGCCTCGAGCGCCTCGACGCCCTCGCCGGCGCCGCGGACGCCGCGGCCGCCGCGGCGCCGGAGGACCTCGACGACGCGCTCCACCGCCTCGTCGACGTCGCGAACGAGCCGCCTCCCGCGCGGTCGCCGCGGCCCGACTTCGAGGCGAGCCTGCCCAACGACGTCCGCTGGGCCGTCCTCGCGCCCGAGCCCGCGCTGCCCGAGCCGGCGAAGAAGCGGCGACCCCGCGCGGAGCCGTCGGCGTAACAAAGAAGGGAGAAGCTCGGTCGCCGCGGCCAAAAAAAGAAAAGACAACATTAGGGCGCTTCCTCCTTGGTCTCCTGGTCCCGGGCCTTGACCTGGACGACCCGGGGCGCGGCGGCGGCCTTCTTCCTCCGCCGCTTGACGAACGCGGCGACGTGCGCGGTCGACAGCGTCTCCGCCGGGAGGCGCGTCTCCCCCTTGAGGTAGGGCGTCGCGAGCAGGGCGGCGCAGGTCGGCCGGTAGTCCGGGTCCACGATGAGCATGTCCGCCAACAGGCGCTTGCCCTCGTCGGAGACGAGGTCCGCGATTGGGCCCGCGACGTTCTCGCTGAAGAGCGACCCGCCGCGCCGCGCCGCCTCCGCGAGGCGCCGCTCCACGCCCGCGCGGTCCTCGCACCGCGCGTCGTCGACGTCGAAGAGGGGCCCCTTGCCGAAGAGGAGCACGTGGAAGAAGACGCCCAGCGCCCAGACGTCGAGGCCGCCGTGCGTCCGCAGGCGCCGCGCGTCGTGGTCGTCGCGGCCGCACCCGCCCGCGAGCTCCGGCGCGCAGTAGACCAAATCCGCCGCGAGGTTCAGCGCGTCGGGCACGTTCGCGTCGTCCGCCTCCGGGTCCGTCGGCGCCGCCAGGCCCCAGCCGCCCAACCGCGGGCTCGGCGGCCCGCCGCCGCGCTCGGCCGCGAGCACGTGCTCCGCGCGCACCTGCCGGTGCGCGAAGCCCGCCTCGTGGCATTGTCGCAGCACCGTGGCGAGCTTGCGCACGACGTCCCGCGCCGCGGCCTCCGTGAAGGTCGACCGGTGGGGCTCCGACGACAAAACCTCCAAAAACTCGCCGGCGCACCGTTTGAAGACGACGCGCGCGCGGGGCTCGTCGCCGCGGCCGAGGCAGCAGGACGCGATGGGCACGAGCCAGTCGCAGTGGATCTCGCGCTGGAGCTTCTCGAAGACGACCATCTGGCGCCGCATGTCCTCGATGCTGCTGTTGGTCGTCGTCAGCGTCCGCACCGCGAACGCGTCGCCCGCGCGCTCGCCCCGGCCGCGCGCGAGCGCCACGTCGCCGAGGCGCCCGCGGCCGAGGACCTCGGCGGGGTCGGCGTCCTCGTAGAGCTCCTCGTAGACCGCGGCGCCGAGGCGCGCCGACGACACGCGGATGGCCTTCTTGGCCGTGTACTTCTTGTTGGCCTTGGGCGGCGGCTGGACCGGCGCTTCCGCGGCGCCGTACTTCTTCGACGGCGACGACCCCATGGGCGCGTCGCCGCCGCGGGGGCGCGCCTAGGGACGCGCCACGGGCGCGCGCTGGGCGGCAGCCCTTAGCTCCGCGGCATGCCCAGCGGCTGTCCAAAGCTCGGATATCTGAAACGCCTCGTTGAAGGTGCAGTGACCTTTTGGTTTCAGCCAATCGATGCACGGCGGCTCGAGGCCCGTATCACAAAAACACGTTAGTAGGGTATGAGGTGGCGGGCCGCGTGGTGCCGGATGTCGCCGACGGCGTCCCAGAGCACGTCGCAGTGGCACTTGGGGGACCAGGGGAGGAGCCGCGCGAGGCTCCAGGTCGAACCGGTCGTGCCCCACCACGCCGGCCCCGCGGCCTCGTGGCGCGCGGCGCCCTTGCGCTCGCAGAGGCTCGCGTTGGCGTCGCAGGCGGCGAGCTGCGCGGACCGGGGACCGGCCATGGCGTTCAGGGACGCGCAGACGCGCTCGACGTAGGGCCGCCACGCGCCGGGCGCGTCGGCGTCGCCGGGCAGCGCGGGGAGGCCGTGGCGGTGGAGCACGAAGGCGCGGCCGCCCAGCGCGCCCCACGCGCCGAAGGGGAAGCGCGCGTTGAGCTCCGCGGGCAGCTCGCCGTAGCGCCACGCGTGCGACCGGCACGCCTCGCCGGGCGCCGACGAGTTGCGCCAGCGCCGCCGCGTGCGCCGACTGCAGCAGTGGGACAGGATGAGCTTCGCCAGCGGCGGCCTACAAGACGCGGTGTGTGTGTTTCGAGAGATGACACCGACGCCGGCGGTCCGCGCTGGTCCATGCCGACGTAGCGGGGCCCGTGGCCCTCCGTCGCGTTCGGCGCGAGCCAGTGGTCCGCGTAGGCGGTGATCCAGTCGCGGACGAAGGCGTTTCCCGCGGCCGTCGACTTGACGAAGACGGCCCCGCCCTGCAGGTTGTCCGACGAGCCCGCGAAGGCCACGCAGCCCGGGTCGGCGACGGTCGCGTTCGCCTCCTCCCGCAGCACGTCGGCGACGAGGTCGTCGCCGCAGCGCACGCGGCAGCGGCCGCAGGCGTCGCGGTACCACGCGGGCGACGCGTAGGACGCTTCGCCGTACGCCGGGCAGTCGCGCGGGCACCGCACGGCCGCGCACTGGAGCGCCGCCGCGCCGGAGACGGACGCGGCGGCGAGCTTGCGCTTCGTGAGCGCCGCCGACGCGTGCTTGCTCGCGAAGCGCACGTCGGGCGCCGCGTCGCGGAACGCCTCCAGCGCGCCCAGCAGGCTCTCGCCGTTGCCGCCGCCGCAGAACGCCGTGTCGTCGTCGACGAAGAGCGTGTTCGCAAAGGGCTACCGCAGGAGGTGGTGGAGCCGCCCGAGGCGGCTCCGGATGACGCGGTCGAGCGGCGCGGCGCGTCGGACGCCCTCGAGCGCGTCCTCCGCGGTGGAGGCGCGCAGCACGACGTCGAAGAGCGGCGCGGTTCCCACGTGGCCGCCGAGCGCCGCGTCGCAGGCGGCCATGGCGTCGTCGACAACACTTTTCTCCACCTCCGTGAAGAGGCACGTGCCGACGCCGTCGCCCGGCGCGCTGAGGCGCAGCGACGCCGCGGACACGAAGAGCTCCTTCCAGTCGTCGAGGTTTGGGTTTGGCGCTACCTGGTTTCGTGTCCAGCAGACGCCGACGTCGGGGACATCCGCGGCTGCCGCGGCCAGGGAGGCGACGATAAGCCGCAGCATTCGGGCTGCATCGGTACGTCTTGCTTTGCGACTGAACCTTGAAGTTCAAGTTCGTTTTTCAACGTTAGAATTTGGCCGCACGAATCTCTCAGCGCATCTCGAACGAACGACGACGACAAGCGCTTCGGCTTCCACGAAAGAGATGCGAATCATGAGCATCTTCGTTTTCGCGGTGTGCGCGGCTCGCGGCGACGCCCTGCTGGTCCCCAGACGCCCGCACGCGCTCCACGGATCGAGACGCGCGACGAAGTCCGCGGCAACGGCGAGTCTCCGCATGTCGCGGCGCAGCAGGAGCTCCGACCCGCGAGCCTCGCGCTCGAGATTCCGAGGCAGGCCGCGGACGACGTCCTGGCCTGGGCGTCCGCCGGCGGGCGCGGCGCGCCGCCCGAGGACGACGCCGCGACCTTTGGCTACGACGGGCTCGAGGTCCGGCGCACGACGTCGTCGATGATGACGCGGCAGCAGACGTCGCTGGGGCGCACGTCGTCGAAGGACTGGCTCCACTGCCTGTCGACGTGGCCGCGGAGCTACGTCTTGGAGCGCATCAAGAACCCGCTGGCGGCGATCGTCGGCTGGTCGGCGGTCGTCGCCGCGTGGATGGCCGCGTCGCCGGCGGCGCCCGCGAAGCCGCTGGGCACGGGCCTCCACACGCTCGTCGGCGGCGCGTTGAGCCTGCTCCTCGTCTTCCGGACGAACACGGCCTACACGCGCTACTGGGAGGGGCGGGAGATCTTCGGGCGCCTCGCGACGGGCACGCGCGACCTCGTCGACTTCGTGGGCCTCTACCGCCGCGAGGTCGGCGCGCGGCGGGCGGACCGCGTCTCCGCGCTGCTCAAGGCCTTCCCCATCGCGCTGCAGCTGCACCTGCAGGGCTTCCGCTTCTCGAGCGCGGCCGCGGGCGGCGCCGCGGGCGGCGAGGCGCCCGGCGCGTCGTCCGTCGGCGAGAAGGAGGTGCTCCGGCTCTTCCGCCGCGTCGGCGGCGGCGCCGACGGCGCGCCGATCCCGCTGGAGACGTTCCTCGGCGCGCTGCGGGACATGCCCGACGTCGCGGCGGCGCTCGGCGTGCCCACGGATCTCGAGGAGGCGCACGCGCTGGACCAGCTCCACCTGCTCAAGTTCGACGAGCCGCGGAGCGCGCGCGCGCCCGTGACCGTCAACGAGCTCGCGGCCTACTACAGCCCGCTCCAGCTCTGGCACGCGCTCCGGCAGGCGGGCGCCGCGAACCGCGACGTCGCGTCGCGCGCGTCGAACATGCCGCTCGCTTTGTGCACGCTGCTCGCGCGCGAGATCAAGGCCGTGGCCTACGCGGGCGACGACTTCACGACGCGCGAGCGGCTCTACGTGTTGAAGCGCGTCGCGGAGCTCCGCGCGACGATCGCGCAGGCGGAGCGCATCGTCCAGACGCCCGTGCCCCTCCACTACGCGCGCCACACGAGCCGCTTCCTCTCCGTGTGGTGCTTCACGCTGCCCCTGTGCCTCGCGCCCATGGTGCCGGCCTACGTCGCGCCGCCGGTCGTCGGCGTCGTGAGCTGGGCGCTGCTGGGGCTCCGCGAGATCGGCCTCCTCATCGAGAACCCGTTCCGCCGGAGCCTCCAGCTCACGATG